TTTATTGGACCTCGGTTGTAGGAATTCACCAACTTAGCTTGCTCTTGCATAAATTCTGGATATGCAGCCCCAAGGGGACAAGAAATGGTAGGATGATCATAAGTTCCACAGATGCTACACACTTCCTTTGAAGGGTTTCTTGAGTTCAATGCAAGGAGGACATCTAGCTTTTGTTCCAATTTGGAAATCTGCATACTAGAAAAATCATTAGAACCACCAACAATACGTTTACCTCTTGTATCGGTATTGAATATGGCATTACATTAATGCTTGCTCCCAAGTCCAACATGGCTCTTCCAATCGTCTTATCTCCGATGTTAATGGGAATGTCAAAGCTGCCAGGATCTTCTAGTTTTGGTAGAAGCTTCCTTTGCAACACAGCACTCACATTCTTGTTGAGCTTTACTTCTTCACTTGGAGCAAAATTGAGCTTGTGAGTCATCAAGTGCTTGATGAACTTTCCATATGCAGGAATCTGTTTAACAACATCAAGCAAGGGCAAATTGATATTAACTTTACTCAAAATATCACAAATATCATTAAAAGTCTTATCTTGATTCGCTTTCTTTAAACGGCCTGGAAATGGAATCGGTGGAATATATGGAGGAGGTGAGATGTATCTATCTTGATGAAGATGTGATGACACAAATTTGTCATCTCTTTTATGCAATTGAAATGGATTGGGTTCCTGAGAATCAGATTTGGCCTTAGGAGCAGATTGGGACGTTTTGGGTTGTTCTCCATCTATAGCTGTGGTTTCCTCTTCATCTTCATCCTCTACAACCACAACATCATTTGATAGATCAGAACCAACTTTGTTTTTTGTTATCAACAATCTTCCCTGATCTGAGCACATGAACGACCTTGGCTTCTTGGTTTTTTGGATTGATCACGGTTTGGCTTGGCCATTTCCCAGGTTCTCTTTGAGCTATTTCGGTAGCTATCTGGCCTAATTGGACTTCCAACTTGGAGATGGCAGCTTGTGTAGTTTGCTGGAAATTGGATTGGTTGATTGCCATTTGCTTCACTAGATCCTCCAACGATGATGATTGTTGTGGCCTTTGGAGTGAAGGGGGATTCGCTTGATTCTGTGTATTCCTCCATGAAAAGTTTGGATGATTCCTCCAACCTGGATTATAACTTTGAGAATATGGATCATTTATTGGACCTCGGTTGTAGGAATTCACCAACTTAGCTTGCTCTTGCACAAATTCTGGATATGCAGCCCCAAGGGGACAAGAAATGGTAGGATGATCATAAGTTCCACAGATGCTACACACTTCCTTTGAAGGGTTTCTTGAGTTCAATGCAAGGAGGACATCTAGCTTTTGTTCCAATTTGGAAATCTGCATACTAGAAAAATCATTAGAACCACCAACAATACGTTTACCTCTTGTATCGGTGTGTTGGGTCTCCATTGCTATCTCCTCAAAGAGTTCATATGTTTCTTCTGGAGTCTTAGTCTTATAAGAACCACCTGCAAAATTAGTGACAATATTATGGTAAAGGGGGTTAGTCCTTTACAAAACATACGCATCTGAAGCTTTAATGGAATCCCATGATGAAGACATTGATTGAGCAGCCCATTGAATCTCTCCCATGCTTCACAAAATGACTCATCATCTTGTTGTGCAAATAGTAAGATCTTGTCCCTAAGCATGTCGGTTTTTTGCGTGGAGAAGTATTTCTCTAAGAACTTCTTTTGAATGGCTCCCCAAGTCGTGAGTGAACCAGGCTTCAAAGAATTCAACCAATATTTCGCCTTGTCTTTCAAAGTGTAAGGAAACACTCTCATTCGAAGTTGATCTTCCGTCACACCTGTCAAGGGAAAAGAGCTCACAGCATTAAAAATATCCTTTATATGGGTTAATGGATCTTCATTAGGTAAACCATAAAAGGAAGGCAACATATTAAGATGAGAAGATTTAAGCTCATAGTTTCGAGCTGCGGTGGGCAGCAAGATGCTTGAAGGGGATGCTGGAATTGTTGGGATATCAAGGTCTCCCATGAACTCATTGGCAGCCATCTCTTCTTCTTCTTCTTGGTCTGAACTTGATTCTAAATTTGAAAGTGAAGAACATGGGAGGTCAGTGTGGATAGCAAGACCTTCAAATGTGGCAATGGCTTGCTCTTTCGCAGTTGCCAACTTTCTTTCTAGACGATTCTGAATTTCAGAGATCACCCGATTTGGTTGTAAAGATGGTCCTGTGTTCAAATATCTCGAACGTTGGAATGAAGAGCTCACTTGTTCAAGTAAGGGATTTCTAGATATAAACTACCTGAAACAGAAAATAACTTGAGTTAATTAGTACTACTAAAAGAATAGGGTAACCTTGGGCACATAACCAGGGAAAAACTTTCATTCAGTCCCCGACAACGGCGCCAAAATTTGTTGTTAAAATGTTAACTCGCAATTATACGGGCCAATTAGTAATATAGCAAGACAAGTATGAGGTCATACCCACGAGGACTGAAAAGTTAAAATTAGTTATGTACTTAGATTACCAAATTCAAGAAAATAGGAGAGTCTAAAATAGAATTTAAAGCAAGAGTGATTGTAATTGTTGAACAAATGAGGCAAAACGAAATTTCAAACAAAAGCAAAGTGAGCAAATGTAACAAAGAGTGTTTTTGTGGGCTGGAAAACAGATTGGGAGACTAGGGCATTCGATTCACCATAACAATTCAATTCTGGGTTATAAGGAGTCAAGTGACAAGTCCAATTCGGATTCAAAGATTGATTCTAGCTAAAGTATGATTAGGCCATGATGTCTGGTCCTAATCTTATGTTCCTAATTCCCTAACTTGATCATTTGTTGTCTAATCTAAATTAAGCATTAGGAACCCATTAAGCACAGAAGAACAATTTAAACAACCAAGCATGTATCTAATCCCTGTTGTCGAATGTCCATACATACTTTTCTTATTCATAGTTCAATTCAAATCAAAGCATGGTGTCTACTCTTGATTCAAACCAAGATAGCTAATATACAAGTTCTAATGGTGATCAATCATCCAAACAAGCATATTAACTGATAAGCATAATGAATAAGAACATGAATCATGAATCAAACTTGAAACTCAAAACTTCAACTTATAAACCCAGAATATTCATGTTAGGTTACATCGAAGTCCTAGTTATGAATTTAGCTACTCATAATGGAAATGAAAATTAAACAGAAATGAGAAAACATAATGAATGTAATAAGAGTGGAAAAACCCATTTCTGAAGTTACTTGTGGTGTCCAAGGCTTCTCCAAGTGCTTCTCCACACCTAATGCTGCTCCAAGACCTTCCTCACATCTAGAGTATGGCAACAAAAGAGGTGATTTGGGATGAGTTTGGGTGAGAAAGAGGAAATTCGTAGGGAAATGGAAGGAAGGCTTGTTGGAGATGTTTTGGTGATTTGGGACTGAATGGAGGGTTTGGGGAAGGATGGGAGTGTTAGAGGATGGCTGAAGTGAATTTTAGGCTGAATGGAGTGACTCCCCCTTGAATGAGTGTACATCTCTCTATTTATAGAGTGCAATTTTGTGCTCCCCTTTGGCTGGTGAAGCACACCCATTCCTAGCTGTTCCCAATTGCCTGAGCTGCCCGTTAGGTTCCCATACTGCTTTGTCTCCTATGTGTGGCTGATTTGATGTGTCGCCCATGCCTCTAGGAATGTCAGCTGCCCATCCTTCTGAGTTGCCATGTTGTCTTGTCTCCCATGTGTGGCTGATTTGATGTGTATTTTGATGGGCCCACGTATTGGGGTCAATTTAATCAATTGATACATTTGAGTAGTCCATTTTGAAGTTCAGACTCTCATCTTTACAACCACATATTATTTGGGTCACTCCAAGTTGGGAGAAAGACGTTAAGGCCGAAATGAGTTGCTAAGTCAGTCTGCTCGTTTGCACCATTTTGCATCTTTTCTTATCCAAAGGCACCATTGCTACCTAAGGCCCAATGAACTGAATGATAAACAGAAAAGGGATTAAAAGCATGAGTTTGACTCAATAACATAACCAAATCATAAGCTAGAAGGGTACAAAATGATATGCAATTGTGAACTGATCACTGAGCAAAGGGGCAATTTGAAGCACTTATAATGGTTTTTTAGAAGAGCGGAGGTGCAGCTGCACCTCCTTGAGCCTTAATAAATCGGCCACTGGACCCAAGAACCTACTTGATACCATTTCAATATTACGGTCCCATTGTTACATTGTGTTATTAATTTATTAACGTTATATTAATTTATTAGTTAGTATAACATGTGGATAAGCAAATACCATGTTGCGGTGTGACTGTCACAACCAAAAGTTTTACATTTTAAGCAAACTCAAGAAGGTTTGAAATATGTAGCAAGACCTACTTCATCTCCATTTTGAGTTGAAGATGGTATCGCTTAGAATACTTTTGAGTTAACTAGAGAATGCATGCACAACATTAGATCATCCAATCTTGAGCAAAATTCTCATTTTGCCTGTGAGATACAAAATTCTAACTGATCCATTGGTAATAAAGCAAGCTTTGTCTTCATGTGGGACAGGGCCAGCTTCAATAATCATTTTGTCATTATCAATTTATACCAGCAAGGAATATACTCAAGAGAACGAATTAAGGTTCAGGTTCAGGTTCAGGTTCAGGTTTTGACAAGAATGAATGATGAACCAGTTGGCGCCACCCTATAGCCTATACAAGAGCAACCAACCTCCAAACTAAAATATAGTTTTACTTTTACATAAGATGCATCGCCAGCTTTGTAATATAACTCAGCGAGCGTTACCAAGTAGTCCTGCATTTCGGCAGCCTGTAAACCAAGTCACAACTAGTCAAACTTGGCAATTACCTCTCATTTTCATAATGATCAGTACAAGAAAATGCCGGCCAATTTTCCTCCCGAACACATGTTGATTGATCTCGATCGTTTTCTGTCTACTACATATAGCTGCTTGAAATGGTAGACTAGCACACAACACTTGGACTTTCAAGTTCTTCTTTTAATCAAATTAAAGATGGAGAACAAGAAGGGTGTAGCATTAATGCAGCTATGTCTTCTTGGTTTAACTTTCATGTTTTATCAATCACTAGGACTTGCACAAGAGGAGCAGAATAGCCTGCAAACATATATTGTTTGGGTTGAAAAGCCGGTCTCTCGGAATATCTTTTCCCAATCTCATGAAGGTTTAGAGAGCTGGTATCAGTCATTTTTGCCTGAAACGACTGTAAACTCAAACGAGCAGAAGAGTTCACGAATTGTTCATGCATACTGCAATGTGGGCACCGGTTTTGCAGCGAAACTGACACCTGAGGAAGTAAAAGCAATGGAAAAGAAACAAGGGTTTGTCTCAGCTCGTCCGGAGAGAATTCTGCCTCTGCAAACTACTCACACTCCTGACTTCTTGGGGTTGCACCAAGGATACGGACTTTGGAAACAAACAAACTATGGTGAAGGTGTGATCATTGGAGTTTTGGATACTGGGATTGGAGCGGGACATCCTTCCTTTAGTGATGAAGGAGTACCACCTCCTCCGGCTAGATGGAAAGGAAAATGCGAGTTCAATGCTACATTGTGCAATAACAAGCTTATTGGTGCAAAAAATTTTGTAGGCTCAGGCAAAGGTAATACCACAGACAGCCCTCCAGTTGATAACCATGGCCATGGCACACACACGTCTAGTACCGCTGCAGGAAATTTTGTGGCAGGTGCCAGCGTTTTTGGAGAGGCCAATGGCACAGCAGTTGGCATGGCACCTTATGCTCACTTGGCAATGTACAAAGTTTGTGCTGGGGGTGGTTGTGCTGACGGTGATATTTTAGCTGCTCTTGATGCCGCTGTTGAAGATGGCGTGGACGTGCTCTCCCTCTCCCTTGGTGGCGAATCACTTCCTTTCTATGAGGATGTTATTGCAATTGGTGCATTTGCAGCAATTCAAAAGGGAATATTTTTCAGCTGTGCAGCTGGAAATTCTGGTCCTTCCTATAACTCTCTATCAAATGAGGCCCCATGGATTCTGACAGTTGGAGCAAGCACCACTGACAGAATATTAAAATCAGAAGCGCAGATTGGAGATGATAAAAACAACCATTTTGATGGAAAATCTTTGTCCCAGCCTGAAGATTTCAATTCAGCAGTTTCGCTACCTCTTGTTTATGCAGGCTCAGTTGGCAACCAGCTATCAGCTTCCTGCAAGGCAGGGTCTCTTGAAAACGTTAAAGGGAAAATAGTGTTGTGTGAGACAGGTGGAGGAGTAACAAATATTGCCAAAGGGGAAGAAGTGAAAAGAGCTGGTGGTGCTGCCATGATTCTCATGAACCAAGAGACTGATGGCTTTAGCACCTTAGCTGAATCTCATGTGCTCCCCTCGACGCATGTGAGTTATGCTGCGGGGTTGCAAATTAAGTCATATATAAGCTCAACCTCAAGTCCTACAGCCAAAATCTTGTTCAACGGCACTGTCATCGGAGATGCACTTGCTCCCAAAGTTGCTTCCTTTTCGTCTAGAGGACCAAGCTCTGCAAGCCCTGGAATTCTGAAACCTGACATCATTGGACCCGGCGTTAGCATCCTAGCAGCCTGGCCTGTTGCCGTGGACCAGACACAATCTAAGGCAACGTTTAACATAATTTCGGGTACCTCAATGTCAACTCCTCACCTGAGTGGCATTGCAGCCTTGCTCAAGAGCTCACACCCTGACTGGTCTCCAGCTGCTATTAAGTCTGCCATCATGACAACAGCCAACGTCCTAAACCTCGCAGGCAAGCCCATTGTTGATCAAAGGCTTGAGCCCGCGGACATCTTTGCAACCGGTGCAGGCCATGTTAACCCTTCAAAAGCTAATGACCCGGGGCTTGTCTATGACACACAACCAAAGGATTACATTCCCTACTTGTGTGGTTTGAATTACACAGACCAACAGATACAGCTCATCACCAAACAAGCAGTGATCTGCTCTCAAGTAGAAGCCATACCAGAAGCACAGCTAAACTACCCTTCATTTTCCATTAAAATAAGGTCCAATGAGACTCAGTCTCAGTATTATACAAGGACAGTGAGGAACGTTGGCCCGGCTAGTTCAACTTACAACTTGGATCTTCTTGTACCACATAAAATGGGGATGAGTGTGAACCCTCAGATGCTCACATTCACAGAGGTAAACCAGGAGCTTACGTTCCATGTGGAGTTTATCGCAGAAGATGGCGCTGGCAAGGATGGAGTACCGATTTCTCAGGGATATTTGAGATGGTTTTCTGATAAGTATAATGTTACTAGTCCAATAGCTGTGGTCTTTGAATCTACCTAGAGTTAAAATTTGGCCTTGCAGAACCCTATATAAGCTCACTTTTTATCCAGGCCAAGAGCTATGTAGGTAATATACCTACGAATAATTATGTATCCACATATATATCTACAATTTAATAATAATGTGCCTACAGATATTTTTAATTATAACTTTCCTAGAGAAATTTCGCAGGAATCATCTAATTCGGTCTTTGTTTTGAAATTTGTGTTTTGGGTTTGTATATCAAAATTTCAGGTACTTATAATTGGAAACAATATAGGCATTTGTATAAGTATAATGTGTTACTGAACGACAATAAAACGTATTAATTGATGAGTAAAAATAACATGTGTGAAATGGAAAATATTTTTATTTCATAAAAATATAAAAATCTCAACCAAAAGAAAAAGGTTGTTGGAAGACAAAAGTTGTATTAAATGAAGTAATGAAAAAAAAAATAAAAAAATCCTGATGGCCACTTTTTCTTTTTGCTTTTCTGATTAATGGGAGGGGCGATTTGAACTCGGGACATTTTTAACATTGGCAAGAGATCTACCACTAGGCCAATTGAATCATTCGAGATATCAAGTTTATTTAACATCCTTTTTGTGAGAATGTAAAGAAATGTCCCACACTGAAAAGTTGAGAAACCTTGCAAGGGCTTATAAGGTGTTGCGCTTCTCCCCCCATAGCCAATTGGTTTTTGAGTGGAACCTCAACTTCCTTCACTTTTGACAATACGCAGTTTCTACATATTTTCATGGAGGTTAACTTTGTCAGTGATGATTTAACAAGATTGAGTGATTCACTTTGTAATTGTCATATATATGAACCTCTCCATGCCTCAGTAGTTTTGCTTTGCAATTTTGATAGATGGATTCTGGGTGTTCCAAGGTTTCATGTTGTGAGTTTTTCATTTTCAGTGTGACTAGCAGCTAGCTATACCTGGTATAGTAACTCCAGATCAGGTATATATATCCACAATGAATTTTCCAATCATGTTTGGTTAGAGCTTTGTAAAACAGAGAAGATGCCAAATCAAGTCAAAAAAGCAAAAAAGCTTCAAACTATTGTTGCTACAGTCTTCACCAGATGTCATCTTCAATAGTAGTCGTTGTCCCAAGAACAACAGCACAGGGCCAGCTTGAATATTCATTTTGTAATTATCAATGTATACAGCAGTAACATATATAACTCCAGAATGAGTTTTTAAGTTTTAGCTATTGTCTATTGCTCTAGCGTGTCATTGTTTTTATTTTTTATCTGCGATGTTATCGAACTGAATTTGATATAATAATTCAGGTTTTAACAAGAATAACAAACCAGTTGGCACCACCCAATACAAGAACAACCAACCTCCAAATTAAATCCAAAAAAATTAATCTATACTAGTTTTACATAAGGTCCATCGCTGCTTTGTTATAGCTCAGCGAGCATTACCAAGTCTTGTACATGTATATTACAAAACTCCCTCATTTTTATACTCTTATACCTCTAATAATCAGTACAAGAAATGCCGGCCAATGTTTGCTTCAAATAGGTGCTTGAAGTGCTAGCACATGCAACTTGCTCTTCCTAATTCTTCTGAACCAAAATCAAGATGGAGAACAAAAAGGGTGCAGCATTAATGCCAGTTATATATCTTGTTGGTTTAGTTTTCATGTTTTGTTTATCACTAACAGTTGCAGATTATGAAGAAATGGCGCTGGAATCGGTAGCTGCTGATAAAAATGATGGCAGCAATGACATGCAAACTTATATTGTTTGGGTGCAAAAGCCAGCCTCTCAGAAATTTTCTGCAGAATCTCATGAAGATTTGGAGAGTTGGTATCAGTCATTTTTGCCCGAAACTGATGCAAACTCAAACCAGCTGACGAAGCAACGGATGGTTTATGCATACCACAATGTGGCAACAGGGTTTGCAGCAAGACTGACACCAGAGGAAGTAAAAACGATGGAAACGATAGAAGGATTTGTGTCAGCTCGTCCAGAGAAGATTCTGCCGGTGCAGACTACTCATAGTCCGGACTTCTTGGGTTTGCACCAAGGATTTGGACTTTGGGAAGCAACAAACTATGGTGAAGGTGTGATAATTGGACTTTTGGATACTGGGATTACACCTGATCATCCCTCATTTAGTGATGAAGGAATGCCACCTCCTCCTGCTAAATGGAAAGGTAAGTGTGAGTTCAATGGGACCTTGTGCAATAACAAGCTTATCGGTGCAAGAAATTTCATGGGAGTAGGCAAAGGTCAACCCCCACCAGGTCCTCCATTTGACATAGATGGCCATGGCACCCACACATCTAGCACTGCTGCTGGAAGGTTTGTGGAAGGCGCAAGCGTGTTTGGACAGGCCAATGGCACAGCAGCTGGCATGGCACCGAAAGCTCACTTGGCAGTTTACAAAGTCTGCTCTGGCTTTGGTTGTGCTGAAGCTGACATTTTGGCTGCTCTTGATGTTGCTGTTGATGATGGCGTGGACGTGCTCTCCCTCTCACTTGGAGGCCCCTCACTTCCTTTCTATAAGGATGTGATTGCAATTGGTGCATTTGCAGCAATTCAAAAGGGAATTTTTTTCAGCTGTGCAGCTGGAAATTTTGGTCCTTTCAACCATTCTTTATCAAACGAGGCCCCGTGGATTCTGACAGTTGGAGCAAGCACTACTGACAGAATATTAAAATCAGAAGCGCAGATCGGGGATAATAAAAATAACCATTTTGATGGAAAATCCTTGTCCCAGCCTCAAGATTTCGATTCAACAGTTTCGTTACCTTTACCTCTTGTTTATGCAGGCTCAGTTGGCGCCCAGCCATCAGCTTTCTGCAAGGAAGGGACTCTCGAAAACGTTGAAGGGAAAATAGTACTGTGTGAGACAGGTGGAGGAGTTACAAATATTGCCAAAGGGGAAGAAGTGAAACGAGCTGGTGGTGCTGCCATGATTCTCATGAACCAAGAAACTGATGGCTTTAGCACCTTAGCTGAATCACATGCGCTACCCACGACACATGTGAGTTATGCTGCAGGGTTGCAAATTAAGTCATATATAAGCTCAACCTCAAGTCCTACAGCCACAATCTTGTTCAACGGCACTGTCATTGGAGACGCACTTGCTCCCAGAGTTGCTTTCTTTTCATCAAGAGGACCAAACAAGGCAAGCCCCGGAATTTTGAAACCTGACATCATTGGACCCGGTGTTGACATCCTAGCAGCATGGCCTGTTTCTGTGGACAATGCCACGCAGTCTAAGGCAACATTTAACATAATTTCCGGTACTTCAATGGCTTGTCCTCACCTAAGTGGAATTGCAGCCTTGGTCAAGAGCTCACACCCTGATTGGTCACCAGCTGCAATTAAATCTGCCATCATGACAACCGCTGATGTGCTAAACCTTGCAGGCATGCCCATTGTTGATCAAGACCAAAAGCCTGCGAACGTCTTTGCAATGGGTGCAGGCCATGTTAACCCTTCAAAAGCAAATGACCCGGGGCTCATCTATGACACACAACCAGAGGATTACATTCCTTACTTGTGTGGTTTGAATTACACTGATAAAGAGATACAAATCATCACCCAACAAAAAGTGAACTGCTCTCAAGTCGAGGTCATACCAGAAGCACAGCTCAATTATCCTTCATTTTCTATTAAGATAGGGTCCAATGAGTCTCAGTCTCAGTATTATACAAGGACAGTAAGGAATGTTGGCCCGGCTAGTACAACTTACAACTTGGATCTTCTTGTACCACATAAAATGGGCATGAGTGTGAATCCTGGGGTGCTTACATTTACTGAGGTCAACCAGGAGATTACATTCCATGTGGAGTTTATAGCACAAGATGGTGCTGGGAAGGATGGTGTAGCATTTGGTCAGGGATATTTGAGATGGGTTTCTGATAAGCATAATGTTACTAGCCCAATTGCTGTGGTCTTCGACTAAGTAAAATTAAAATTTGTCCCTGTAGAAGCTTATATATAGAAAGCTTATGACCTAGGTAACGGACTTATGAATAAGCGAAGAATTTACTACAAATAATAATGCACGTACACGTTGTTGGTGGTTGGTTTATTTTGTGATTTCCTTTTCCTTTTTTTTTTTCCTTTGTCTTTCTTTCCTTTAATTTCTGAACTTTTGTTCAAATCTAAATACAATTGTGTTGCTACACATTTTGTTCAAATTCTACACTTTCCTGCCCACTTGGGTGCATTATATGAAGTGAAAATCAAACGAACCAAAAAAAAGTTATGGGTGGAGGAGGGTTTACAAGGTTTCGAGCCCCTTCGGAGTTATATAGGCTTCAACGGTGGTGTTTATCTCCAAATGACTAGTAAGCAGTGCAGGACCAGCTTGAATAATATTCCGTTTTTTTTTTTTGGAGTGATAAATTATTGATTGTATAGTGTGGTGCCAACTGGTTTATCATTCTTGTTAAAACCTTTAAGACTGTAATCAAGAATAAGTTTCAATTATTGTCTATTGCTCGTGCGGTATTGCTTTCTTTTTATCTGTGACATTGTTGAATTGATATTGTAGAGAATATCAGTCTTGCGTTGGGGATATGGGAAACGTTGGTAGATGCCTAGTTGACTGCAAAGATAAGAAAAAAACATTATTAATATATTCAGTGCTGTTTATACTAAGACACGTGGACAAGATTGAGCGTGACCACGGTAGCCTTTGGCATCCAACCTACCGATTCAATGATTAGGGCAACCTCCTTCTGCAGGACACATGGCAGGCCCACAAACGATGTCTACAGTCCCACATCGAAATTCTACACAACTTGCACACCTCCCAAGGTCTATAAAGGAAGCACAATTCCCTAAAAAGGAGGTAATCAGAACTTACGGCATACTGCCTATTGATCTGTCAGTTTAAGCTTACTAAATCCGTACTTACTTAAGTATCGGAGAGCCTTCGGCCGGTACCACACCGGTGCCTTTAGGTCTTACCGAGCGTTCGTTATCTTGTAGATCACACACTCCATCGAGGCCCAAAGCATACCGAAGGCCCAACATCACTAAGTTGAGCGAAAAAGGTGCCGAACCATTTTTACGCATCAACAGTTTG